TTGAACCATGCCCTATAGGATTTTCAGTGACTGTGGACTTTTGGAAAGAAGTCTCCAGGCCTTCTTCCCCAGGAGACTTTGGGTAGATTTGAACGGCCAGCCTTTCGGCTCTTAACTAACCCACTTGGGGCCTTCAAGGAAGGGACACCATGGGAAATGGTACTTGGGCCAGTCCAAGGTCAATGTCCCCTTGACAGTGGCCCTGGGGAGAAACAAACTGGACATTGAGTAGCTGATTGAAGATGATATTTTTATGACCTTTGAGGATTTGCTTTTACAAGAGGGCTTCTCAAAGTTTGTGGAAAAATGGAATAAAAAGAATGGAATTTTTCCATGGCCTTTTTGAAGCCCCCTTGCGTGTGAAGTTAAGGGGTGTAGGTAATTGGGGAGTCTTTCCCTTCCAGTGGTTTTCTACTGGTGGGTGGGGAAGGGGCAGGGGTGGGTGGGGGCCGAGGAGGATGTGCGTGACCTCAGATCTCATATCTTCCTTTTTACTCAGACGAGCAACCATCCATTCTCATAATTAATGTAAAAATTAAGTAAAACTCCCTGTCTTATTCCTAGCTCCCCCTCCCCCGACTGCAGAGGCCTTAGTTTAGTGACTATCCCTCCTTTCAGATTTTCCTTTTCTTTTTTTTAACGATAACTAATTTTATTGCGTGTTTACAATATCAAAATACAGACTGTTTCCTTGTAGCATTTGAGTATGCTGTAAATCAACTTCATAGAAAGAAGAAGTCTGATTGATTAGATCTCTCTCCTCACGAAGAAGCATCCATGTGTGTTTACAGAGAAGGCTGCTTTCTCTGTGTTATCCTTAAGTTTAAAATGACTTTTGCCAACCGTCATCTTCATACCTGTCTAGCTTTCTGCCGTCTTGGGTGATATGCTCAGTTTCCCAACTGGCAAACAGTTCCATTGTCCCATGCTTTTCCTATGCATGTATGAACAGCTAGGAGCCCTGGTGGCGCAGCAGGTTAAGTGTTGGGCTGCTAACCATAAGGTCGGTGGTTCAAACCCACTGGCCATGCTCCAAGGAAGAAGGATGAGGCTGTCTGCTTCTGCGAAGAGTTGTAGTCTCGGAGATCCTTGGGAGCAGTTCCCTGCCCTATAGGGTTGCTTTGAATGGGGATCAACTCCATGAGCGAGGGTTTATATGTGCATCTGTGTGTAGGATCATAGCATCTGCAAATGAGAGAGTTTTACTTGTTTGCCAATTTGGATGCCTTTCATTGCCCTTTTTTGCCTTATGTTGTTCCAACCCATAGCAAC